GGAAACAGCATATATGATTTTGTGCCAGATAAGTGGTGGAGAGACGTGTCTGAAGGCCTCTGAGAAGCAGAAGGAAGGGGGCCCTTGACTAAAGATAACCGCTATTTCTTGAGCGTTTACCAGCCGGGCTAACTGCTTTAAGCCCCTTAACTCCTCTATTCCTCAAAACAACTAGGAGGTAGGGGCAGTTTTTATTCCCATTTCACAGGTAAGGTCTAGAGAATTGAGGAAGCCTCCTTCCAAGCCCTGACAGCGAGAACAGGGTAAAGAAACCTCAGTACACGGTCTGACTGCCGAGCCCACACTCTTCGCATGGAGGCTTCACTGTTTTCTCAGAAACACAGACTGGGAGGTCCCAGCGGAGGCAGCAGGCTGCTTCTTCCCAGTGCCGTCTCCCTGTGGTCTGAGACACCCAAGAATTCCTCCCAGAAACCCCTCTGGGGCCGGCTGCCAGGATTGGAACAGAAGGATGGGATGGGGCTGTCTGGCCAGGAGATCAGGGAAACACCAGCAAAAAAAACCCCACTAAACATAAGAGGGTCTTTGAAAAGCAAGACCAAGGGACACCTGGGTGGCTCAGTTGATTAAGCAACTGCCTTCGGCTCAGGTCATGATTTCGGGGTCCTGGGATCGAACCCCAGCATCGTCGTTGGGCTCCCTGCTCGGTGGGGAGCCTGCTTCTCCCTCTCCCTCTGCTCATCCCCTGCTTGTGCATGCTCTCTCTCTCTAAAATAAATAAATAAAATCTTAAAAAAAAAAAAATAAGACCAAGTATAGTCTCCTAAAGCATGGGAATTTAGCTAGTTAGGTAGCAGAGCTTTCTGGATGGGAGGAGCTGTACACCCTCTTTCAAGATGAAAAGATTTTTCATTTTACTAATTGTAGGTAGAAATCTCTTAAAAATATATTACGTTCCGCCCCTGCTTCCTTAGTGTGCCCCTCAAAAAAAGGACTTCAACTTCCATGATTCAGTTGGATCAGGAAAATAATTTGGTTATGGTGCAACTCAGTGACTTTGTTAGTGCTTATTAAGGTGTATGCATTTATTTACTCCTACCATAAATGATGCCAGTTTGGTGTGGGTCTTAATACTCATGCCTGTTTTTCTTTTATCTCTGTTTCTTCTTTTTTAAGCTGTTGTTTCTCCTTATTGTTTGCTTCTAGGAGTCTCTAATTTTTAGTTTTAGCTAGGATATCAAATAACAAAGCTTGTTAGAACTACGTGGAAGACAAGAATAATCGTCTCTGAATAAGTGCCTATAAGTTAAATGCATTACTTTTACTACAGGACTTTTGTGACCTCTATTTGGTCATTTTGGGTTCTTATCCTCGTTTTTGCTAACTTCCTGATACCTTGTCTCCTCCCTTTGCCCCAGGTTCATGAGTTGAGATCAAATAGGATATCTAGAGTCAAATCGGGTACCTAGGGAGACACAGTTAGTAAAGGTAGAATGGGAAGTAAACAGCAGAAGATAGCCTTTTGTTTGATTTTAAATTGTACTTTTGTTTGATTTTAAATTTGAAAATGATCTGTTGGGTTGGGGCTAAAGGCTATTTGTCTGGAAGGCCCCGGTCTAGAATGGAATGGAGTGGAGGTTTCACTGACTGTCTCCTAGAATCGAACTGGTAAGCTGCTGTTACTCCCTTACCGAGTGGGGAGAACAGAAGCTCAGATAAAGAAGGGTCAGCATTTGATGGTTTAATGCCATGGACGTGTGTGGGAAGAGGATGAACAGAGACCTGTGGTCAGTCTTTATTCATGTAAATGTTATTCCTGCAAGATGCAGTCTCTTCAGGGGAGCTCTAGATAGAATGGGAGCCCTAGAAGCTGTGAAACCACGGGACTCCCTCCCTGCCAGTCCCTCCGCAGCAGCCCCCCCCCACCCCCGGTTGGATTAGCTTCCAGGGCCCTACCGCCATGTTCCCTCGCTCTATACCAACTCAAACGTATCCTGTCACTGAGTCTTGCCTTTCTGGCCTCCCTCTTTGACTGTTTCTCCAGGCTCTCAGCGGGCATCCTTGCCCACTCCAGGCTCAGGGACGTGAATCTGAGGTTGGGCTTTCATTCGCTTTGCAGATGGATCTGCTACCTTTGCTCGGTGTTTGGCCAGGTGGTGGGTGAGAGGAGGCTGCGGCCGCCGGGAGCCCGACCCTAGTGGGTCAGTAGCTGGCCTGGGTCCAGAGTTGCTTCACTCATCGGGCACAGGCACTCCTGTCCTCAGAACCAGCAGCAGGTCTCCGCGCACATCTGGAAAAGTTCAAAACTGTTTGTCTGGGCGAAGGAGGCCCTGGGGGAGGGGGTTCAAAAGCATGACATCACCTCAGTCAGGCCCAGCTTTCTTTGGAAAGAGAAAAGGGCTGGGCCAGGCTGAGCCAGATAGGATTCCCAGGAATTGATGTGTTGGAAGGAAGAAGAGGAAAGGGTGGGAAAGAAGGATGATGTCAAGGGGGAGTTCCAGTGGTGCCTTGGAGTGGTACCCGGAGAGGACGATCCTTCAGTTCAGTGTCCACATGTTCCCACCACCTGCCCCCTTCGGTGAGTTCATACCTTAGGGGCAGATTGCTGAGCAGGTCCTATCTAGGAGCAGAGGAAGACTGGATATGCTTCCCCATCTATTTTATTATGAGAAGACCACCTCCCACCTGACCCAGATAGGAGCCCATTCTTTTCTCTCCAGAAGGGTGGAGGATGCATCCTGATCCTTAGCAGTTTAGACTCCCTGACCCTCTGGCTCCTTCCACTCAAGTGTCTGCTAAACCTCAGTGGCCCCATTGCTCCCTGCCCCGCATAAACTATGGCCTCCCCTCTTGCCCAAAACCTTGGTGATTCAGGTTTTTATCTCTAAAATGGAGATGGTAATATCACTTCTTCCTCCCACTCACCTGCACGTAATATTAAGATATGATTATTGTTGGGCACCTGGGTGGCTCGGTCGTTAGGCGTCTGCCTTCGGCTCAGGTCATGATCCCGGAGTCCCGGGATCGAGTCCCACATCGGGCTCCCTGCTCGGCGGGAAGCCTGCTTCTCCCTCTCCCACTCCCCCTGCTTGTGTTCCTGCTCTCGCTCTCTCTCTCTCTGTCAAATAAATAAAATCTTAAAAAAAAAAAGATATGATTACTGTCTTCACCTTTCATATCAATCTACTTGTAGCAGGTGGGGAGGGAGGCAGATGTGGGAGAGTGAAACTTGTCACCATTTTTAAAGGCAGCATTCTTGGTCCCAAGTTAATTGCAATGAAACAAAAGCCTAACTTCCCTCTTGATGTCAAGGGAAAGAAGAGGTGTCATTCTACATTGCTATTTACCTGGAAACCCCAAAAGATACAGACCTAGATCTCAATCAGGAAAATTTAAAGACAAGCTTTAGGGTGGCCTGGGATCCTCAGGGGTCTTTCCTTAAGGGTGGTACTGCTGGGCACTGACCTCTAGGTACCAAGCCCATCCCTAAGGTTTATAGGGCCCACGCCAAGAATAGAATAGAGGCCCTCAGTCATATGTCTAAGTACTTCAAAGTTACCAATCAGGCCTATTTAAATGAAATATCCTCTATCCTCTTACCTTGAAAATCATACCTTCATGGCCATCTGGAAGGCCACGTGTGAATTTGGACCCTGTTGGTCTCTGAGCAGGAAGAGATGGCCTTTAGCCCTAGCCCATCCCTCTTCCCTTCTTACTCACAGCTCTGGCACACATTGTTGGGGATCTTCTATGCATGCAAGTGACACACCACCCACATGCTAAACGTGCAACCCTTCTCCCTGAAACAGCCACCTCTTGGCCACTCTCGTGCCTTGGAAGTACATACCCAGTGCTGCAGTTCACCCTCAGAAGGATGGACTGGGAGAAAGGGCCGCATGAAGATCCTCAAGTGAGCAAAGAGCCATTTGGGCACGAAGTTCTAGAAATTCTGGTCCCCACTGTATGACCTAGGAGAGAGGGCACATCTCTGTTGGCCCCATGGACTCCTCACGGTTTGGGGCCGGGCAGAGTAGAAGGAGGAACAGAATACAGACTCTGAAGTTCAGGTCCAGTCAGGAAGCTTCTCTTTCCTGGGTGTAAGGATGGCACTGATAGGTACCCCAGGAAACATGGAAAGGCAAGGACTTTCATGAAGATCTTCAGAGAATAATTAAATCCGGGAGCATTATACTATACCAATTTAATATTTGTCATTAATTTTCCCAACAATCCATGTAAGAAAAGACCCTCACTTTAGAGATTGGTAAACTGAGATACACACATATATATACACACACACGCGTTAAACTACGTAGTTATTGGCAGAGTCAGAACTAAGCTTTCTTCCCACTACATTTGATGAGAAACCAGGCCTTATATTCTCTAGTCCATCCACTGGATTCCTAGGTCAGAGCTTCTTGAAAGAAATCTGTGTGTGTGGGGGTGGGGGGCGCTGCTTACTGAGTTTCTCAACAAAAGACAAGGAGGATGGGTTTGCAGGCCATAAGGGAAAGAATGAAGGGAGTTTGGGAATGGGGAAGCCTTAGACAGAAGATTTTTAAGGGGGGGTGCATGGAAATGGCATAGCTGTAGTGATTATTCCAAGAGTATATTACTCTAGCGGATGGAGAGTGATGGAAGAGAGGAAGACACATTAAAAAGGAAATAAAGGTACTTCCTCCCCCATATTTTAGATCTCTGTGATATTTATTGAGATATAATTTGATATTTTAGTATTTTACTTAACATGTTACAAACATTGCCTTGTATTCTCATGTGGCTTTAGTTTTTCTTACAATTTTTTATTTGTAATGATTATGGTACATGACGTGCATATAGCATTTATCCTATTGTAATTCATTTAGTTGTTTGCAACTTTCCCCTCCTATAAATAGTACTATATTAGACACTTGGTGCATACAAGCTTTCCCTTCCTTATTTTCTTAGGGAAAATCTAGTAGTGAGAAATTAGTCACCTGTCCAGGATAGTCTTGATGTCATGATGTCATGAGGCTCCAGGATGATTGAGGTTCTGACTTGTCCTCCTTGTTTCTTTATAGCCTCTGGGTTCCCAAATACAGAAAACATGACTGCTATCACCAAAGAGTCAACCCCCCAAGAAATAACTTCAACTGTGTTTGCAAATGTATCCAACCAGAAGGCCACCACCCTAAGTCCTCTTGGAAGTACCACCCTGTACCTTGTCTCTCAGGACAACAGTAGTACCATTGCAACCATCTCAGGTAAAAAGTGCTTGTCTCAGGCCCCAGAGGGATGCTGCTGGTGCCTGGGTAAAGCATTAGGATATTTGCAGACCACCCCCAGGCCTCCTTTCCCCCACAGATGGAAACATACAAGCCCCACGAAATATGGTTTGTGCATCATGCTTTGGGGACCCTGAAGTAAGTTCCTGATAATTTATAGTGATATATAGTGACAACTTTCTCAGGCAGCTTTAGCAGCTGATCCTGATCAGCCATTCTCCTTGTACCCTGCTCTCATGCCGAGTTCAGGTTAGTGATAAAACAAGGATCAGATGAAGACTCCCTAGAAATCTCTGATCTCTTCAGGTTCAAACTGCTTTTTGACTTCTTTAGGGTAGACCAGAATCCAGTTCAGTGTCAGAAACCCAAAAGCTCTTCTAATAACATTTTCAATTATAGCTGTGGTTCCAACAGCTGGCTTGAAATGAGTTTGGTAAGGGTTGGGACATGAAGTAGCTCTTAACTCCCCAAATTCCCTTTTCTGGTTTGAAGTCCATGCCAATATCATTCTCTATAAGGTTTTAATTCAAGACGGTGAACTGAGACATGTGTAGGGGTGTGTGTGTGTGTGTGTGTGTGTGTTTATGCAAACATGTGCACATGCACACTTGTGTTTTGGTCTATTTCAGAGACTACAGTCAATATCACATCTACCTCTGAGATCACCCCAGTGCCCGGGACCACGAGCTCTTCTGTCCAGTCACAGACCTCTTTAGCTATCACAGTAACTTCTATCCCAACCAACTTTTCAACTTCAGACATGACCTTGAAGCCCAGTCTGCTACCTGGAAATGTTTCGGATTCCCCATACAACAGCACCAGCCTTGTGACATCCCCCACTGAACACTCTACATCATTTTCTCTTACCCCAAGTACCATCAGGGTGGGTGAATTGGGCCAAAAGTGGCAGATTACCCCCTCACTTCATATGTATGCAAACCCTCTCTTCCTTTCAACCTCTCCTCATCCCAAGCAGTGAGATTTGGGTCATGTAAGAATTAGCAAGGAAAATATGTAGCTTAGGGGTGCTTGGGTGGCTCAGTGAGTTAAGCGTCTGACTCTTGATTTCAGCTCAGGTCATGACCTTAAGATTGTGGGATCAAGCCCCATGTTGGGCTCCACACTCAGCGAGGAGTCTGCTAGAGATTTTCTCTCTCCCTCTGCCCCTCCCCTTTCTCACGTGCTCTCTCTCTGTCTCTCTAAATAAATAAATAATATTTTTTTAAAAGAGAAACTATGCAGCTTAAATATTGCTGGAAAGGATAGACAGGGGAAGAGAATAGTGGAGACAGGTATACCCAATGCTGTGGGTATTGCATTTCTAAGGAGTAGAAAGTAAAGAGGGATTCTTGGAGGTCTGCTGTGGTTCTTGTTAGTACCTCTCCGTCTGGGCTTTGACCAGGGCACCATCTCCCTTCGGGCATATTTGGAAACCATCCTCCATTTAATGGGGCAACTTTTCCAAAAAGGTTTAGGACAACTACCATTTCCTGTATATGAGAAGGTTTGACAGTATGTCAGGCATAGAGAAGCCGTGAAGAACTGGGCAGACCAGGGATGGTGAGCTCAGCCTTGGGGTCTATGGCTGTCAACAGCTTTTAGCAGGAAGGGGAGAAAATATGAGGGCGTGGAGCCTCGAGGCAGGTGTGAGGAACCTGCCTGGTTTCTGTTTTTAAAGGAACTAGAATAGGAATCTGGGGAGTCCAAGGGGCCAAGAGGAAAAAGAGTGTCACCAGGTTCTGCCTGGCCACCCCATTATCTGTTTGCTAACATGGCCTTGCTTGCAAGTGTATAATCACCACTGCAGGGAAAACAGCCCCAGTGGGAAAAGTTCCTCCCTTCTTCCATTTCTGTACCATCCAAGCTAATGTTTACCAAGACTGCAGATAGCTACTTGCTGGCAAGCCTGGGATAGTAACAAGTTTTGATTATCTGTTGGGGATGGGAGTGAGATGGTGGAAGGGAGGAATACCATTGTATAGCTCTAGTCCCTTAACATTTTTAAATTTCCTTTTTCCTAAAACCTCTTAAAAGAGTACCTCACAGAAATCAAAGAGGAAAAGGTGGGGGAGGGAATGAGGGGCAAAGATACTGGCTTATTTACTTTGTTTTTGTTTTAATACAGGGAGAAATCAAATGTTCCCAAGTCAAAGAAGTGAAATTGACCCAAGGTATCTGCCTGGAGCTAAATGAGACCTACAGCTGTGTAAGTCAAACTCCCCTCCACCTCACCCCCATCCTTTCCTCCTCCCTCTTGTCCCACAATTCTTTCTGAACATCCTTAAGCCATCTTGGACTGGACCAGACTTTGGTCGGGGTGGGAAGAACTTAGCTTGGTCAGGCACTTTCCAGCACTGAGCTTTGGGTTTAGGGAGTAAGAGGCCCCATCTGGTGGGCAAAGAAGGCAAAAACAATTTTATTTAAATTTAGTTGTTACTTTTTCCCTCCTCTGTTGTACATTGAATATGTATGTACATAGTCAGATTTAAGTTTGCTTTTGTGTTAAGAAAGTCCTTAGTGAAATATAAACTAGTAACCTAAAATACCAATTGTTTATTATTATTGACATATAACTCTTTAATCCATATAGAGTGTCTTTGTGCTTAATGCTGTAGTTTCCATATAACCGGATTTCCTAACATTATTTATTGAATGATACCCTCTCTTGTTGATTGGAATGCTGTTTTTTAGCTTCTGTTAAGTTTTTATATGTCCCAGGGCATATTCTTCAGAGATATTTTATTTGTTCGGTTTGTCTTTTTTTTGCCTGTTTTAAATTTTTTTAAATTATTATACTTTTACATTGTAGTATTTTAAATATCCAGCCAAGCAGGTCTTTGCTTGCTACACTATAAAAAAATGTATTTTTTGCCTATTCTTTTAGAAAAACTCTAGAAACATCTTGTCAAAATTAAAAAAAAAAAAAATTTTCATTGGAACTGCTATAAGTCCCTCTGTATTTTTCTGGTCTTCTCTTGTATTGTTCAGCATATTGTCCTTTTAGTTTTCAAAAACTAAAAGCTAGGTTTTTTTTCCTGTAGGCTTTATGAACTTTTTAAGGTTATTTATAATATAGATTTCCCATTAAATATTCTAATTGATCATTGGTGGTATATTAGAAAGTTGAGTTCTGAAATTTATCTTGGGTTTAGCCATTTTCTTTAACATACTTGTTAATTACAAGAGCTTTATAGTTGATTTTTTTTAAGGCAGGCTATCTTGTTACCTACCACAATACATTGTTTTTCTCCTCCTTTTTAGTAGTTACACCTTGTTTCAATTTCAAGTCTTATTGCATTGGTAAGACTATACTGTACAGCATTAACTTTTAATGGTGATAGCAGACGTTCTTGTTTTGTTCCGGTAAATTTTCCTGACAGTTAGAATTTCCTTGACAAAGAATGGAACGACAGGACTCTTCCTATTCACTTGTAGGAAAAAACATTTCCTTACAAGTTGGGAATCCATTTAAGGGAGCCATATATGTGGTGTGTGATTGCATAGATTGGGAAGGACCTGGGTAGACTGTAGTCTGTAGAAAACATTCGGCTATTTATTTGGTCCATTCTGACTACCCATATTTTACCTGTGATTTTCAGCTGGGTCATTCTGACTCACAGATCTCTTAAAATTATACCTAAGGTCTTTATTTAGCCTAGGACTTTTAAAAACAATGGGGATTGCAAAGATATTAGTTCACACAATAGATAACAAGTGCAATTTGCAAAATGGTGAACTTAAACATGATTATATAATGTACAGGTAATACTCTGTGTTTCTGATACTGACTTTCAACTCTACGTATTTAAAAAAAAATTGCCAAACCCTTTGCTAATTATAGCTTTAAAAAAGTAACTTTTATTTTTTTTTTAGTAATATCCTGGTTAAGCACTTATTTTCCTGTGCCAAAATGCTGCTTCTTTGTACCACTGATTTAGAACTAATTGCAGAGCATTCTAAGTGTCTGTCCATTGCTCTTCGAGGTTCACATTTAACTAGGGTCATCGTACAAGACAAGGTGCTGGAAAGTTACTGCTACTCCAGAAATAACTGCTCTTACTGTGCTGTGGTTGCTTTCTCTCTGTGGTCTTTACGGTCTCATCTATTCATGCCACAGCTGAGAAGGTCTGTACTCCCTTCTGAGGTCTGGGGAGGATCTGTGAGTAGGGATGTGGAAAGACAGCAAGTCCTCTGGTATCCTGAAGAAGGCTTCTGCACTGCTCATGATGAATCAGCTCTGTGGTAGCACCAGGTCATGCTACGGTTTTCCTGGCCCCTCTGCCAGTCTTGGTCCCCTTTCTTCCTCAGGGCTCCTTTGCCCCAGCCTCCAAGCAGCAGTGCCTCCTAAGCCCCCCAAGGTAATTTTTCCCCAGTCAGCAATTCTCGCTCAGAATCTTTAGCCAAAGCTCCCGATTGTGTTTCAGATTCCTTTTCCTTGAGTCCTAATGCATGTTTGTCTGATAATCAATCTGTTCCAAGGGCTGTGAGTGGCGTGGTGCCTGCTCATTTTCCTTAGGTTGCCTTTGCACTCTTGGTGTCAGAAGGCCTTAAGGCACTGGTTCTAACCGTGGGAAACTCAAGTCCCACTCACAGCCTGAGGAGAAGCATGAAGGATTTGAATTCCCCTAACATCATGTCCTTGAGTACTTGTGTTGTGTTGGCATGCTCCTGCATCCAGTGTATTCCCATAACAGAATTACGCTTGACTGTTCTCAGGTATTCAGACACTCACTCTGCACTGGGATGTATTGCATATCCGACCTCGTAGCTCTCACTCTGTGGATCATATAGACCTGTCTTTTGTCCATGTATCTGCAGACATTTATTTCTCAACTACTCTCCTTTTGCTCCCCATCCTTCACCTTTAGACAGAAATCACCTCTGTCAGCTGGGGGAGGGAAGGCAACCCCACGCTCTTCTCAAGCACCTGCTACCCCATCTTAGAGTCCTCATTAGCAGCACCTGTCACTCTGAGTCTGATTTTCACTCTCTTGGCTGCAGTGTCAGGGTAATTTAGTTATTGTGGTTATGGTTACCCAAATAATTTCCAAAATGTGAGATTACTTTATTCTTAGGCTATACCCATTTATCTAGGGGTTTCCACCAAGAAATTTTTTAATGGTGGTAAAATACACATAACATAAAATGTACCATCTTAACCATTCAGTAGTCCCACAAATAGTTCAGCGGTATTAAGAACATTCGCATTGTTGTGCGGTCTCCAGAACTCTTCATCATCCAGAGCTGAAACTCTACACACATTAAACCACTTCCCATTCCCCCGCCTCCCAGTCCTTGGCCACCACCATTCTACTTTCTGTCTCTGTGAATCTGACTACTCCAGGTACCTCATAGGAGGGGAGTCATACAGCCTTTATCTTTTTGCGACTAACTTATATCACTTAGTGTAATGTCCTCAAGGTTCATCTGTGTTGTAACTTGTGTCAGAATTTACTTCCTTTTCAAGGCTGAATAATATTCCATTGTTTGTATAGACCACATTTTGTGTATCTCTTCATCCACCAATGAACACTTGGATTGCTTCCACCTTTTACCATGGTGAATAATATTGTTATGAACATGGGTGTACAAATATCTCTTTAACACTCTGATTTCATTTCTTTTGGGTATATACCCAGAAGTAGAGTTGCTGGATTATTTGGTAAATCTATTTTTAAATTTTTGAAGACTCGACATACTGTTTTCTATAGCAGTTGCACCATTTTGCATTCCCACCAACAGAGCACAAGGGTTCCAATATGTCCACACCCTCACCAACATTTGTTATGTCCTGTTATTTATATACATATAAATAAATATATATATATAAAATATATATATATATATATATATAGTAACCATCCCAGTGGGCATGAGGTGGTATGTCATTGTGCTTTTGATGGGCATTTCCTAATGATTGGTGTTGAACATCTTTTCATGTGCTTGTTGGCCATTTGCACATCCTCTTTGGAAAAATCTCTATTCAAGCCCTTTGCCCACTAATTTGTTTTTGAGAACTACCTTTCTTTTGAACCACATGTGTTTCTATGCAAGGTTGTATTTACTCGGCTAGTTCACATCACCCTTATTCTGTCACATTGACTTCATCTCAGGCAGGCTGCTTCCAACCTCCAGATCATATCTCCCAGCCCACGCCTTCCTTGCCCTCTGCCCAAACACTAAAGGTCAGTTTCCATGCAGAAAAAAATAACTTACAGATGGAGGACAGATGAAGACAGTGTGTCTCCTGGAGAGAGCCTGAGATCTGGAGACAGCCTAACTCCTTGCCCTTGGCCTGCTGCCCCCTTGTTGTGTGACTTGTGGCAGGCCCTTCACTCCAGTCTCTAAATGAAAACAAGGTTTTACCTCCAATATCAAACTCGCACCAAAATAGTTAAAATGAGAGAGAGCGAGAGAATGAGAATTGATCCTAAAAATCTCAGCACTGAGAAAAACCTTAAGGCTCATTTAGAAAAATACCTGTCCCTCTCTTCCCCACTCCAATGTTTAACATGTTTCTTTAACATGTTAAGAGTCTTTGCAAAGTTTGAGGGTGCTACCCAAGAAAGGTTAGATGGTTTTATTATTGTAGGTATTATTTTTGCAAAGTAACATGTGTGAGCAGATGTGGCTAGGGGCTCACAAATCTGATTCTCATGAGCAAAATGGCAAAGGTTGTGGTTTCCTCCTGCCCACTCTCCCATGGTATCTGCCCACAGCCTCTCTTGGGGAAGGATGTTTATTTCAAGCATCCGGAGAAACACTGTGCTTTGTTCAAGATCCACCTGCTCCTCTCCAGTCCCCAACACAATTCACTGATGCTGCTGAACTCCAAAGTGGGAGGCTGGCCACGGTCATTCCCTTGAATTTAGTCCAAGAAACTAAGCAAAGGGTGGAGGAATCCTGTGTGGAGGCCAAACCAGTTGGGACGTTAAGTTGAACAACAATTCTGTGAGTTCCTTTGTTTGTTTGGTGCTGGGCTTAGTGCAGTCTGGGTTCAAAATTATGAAATTATGTAACATACACCCACTCCCCCAACTAAGGAGTCTTAGAGTCTAGCCAGAGTGAAATGACTATAACAGTAAAGCAGAAGATGATCAAACCTCAAAATGTGGATTCTGAGGGATATGGTGCATAGTATGGTTGTTTATTAATAGTAACAGTACTA